TCTGCCAATTAAATAAAAAATAAAAACTTAAAATTATATAAAAACAAATTAAAGTGCAATTTAAAGCATGATACCTTCTACTTTTAAGCATGGACCATGAATGAAAAACAATTTAAAGTGCACTAAGCCATGATACTTCATGATACCTTCTCTTGAAACATGGACAGTGATTTAAAAACTAGCCTATGTCCACATCATCAAAAAAGATGAAAAGAAGAAAAGCAAAGCAATAAAGCATACCTCTGCTTATAATTTTAAATTCTTTTTCAAAAAGATAAGGATGTCTACATTGTCTGGGGAGAGTGTAGACCTCTTTGCAGTCACTATGTTCCCCTGCAGTAGAGAATACCCTCTCGCTAGGCACTGAAGTGCCAGGCACAGCGAGATGGCATCTTGCCATCTTGGCAATGTGGGGGTATTTACACTCATTGCTTTTCCACCATGTCAGTGGATCACCATCCACTGGAATGCCGCATTTATAAACTTAAATAGCCATTGAACAGCACATATTTGCATGGGTGCGATTCAACCTTTTTTTTTTTTTTTTTTTTCAAGCAGTGCAACCTAATTTATTTTAAGATTGCACTTCATCAAAATGTTTCCAAAAGAATAGGCTACTTTTACGGGGAAGCACAGCTGCACACTATGCTGCAAAGGGATAATAATGCAGGCTTTTAAATTACTAACGCTCTTGCGTCAAAGCGTTGGTAATTGAATAATTTAGTAAATTGGTTATTGGTGCATTGTGAAAGTTCACCTCACGGCATGCATTTAAAATCAATTCAACTGCAAGCTATGCATCAAACTTTCATGTTGTCAAAATCATTTATGGGGTCTTTATAGTCCGACTTCTGGAAAGTTGTTCAGAGGTTACAATATGAGATTGTATGGACGGCAATTATCCAGTTAATCATAAACAAAATCTAAACCTTATCTAAACAACATCTTCAGCAGCATTTGCTAATTAATATTCTACTAGAATGTAGAATTTCAAGAAATTCTGCTAATTGCCATTTATGCAATCTCTTTGCAGCCCTCCACTGACGCAAAGCTTTGTCTTAATCATCAATAAAGTATCTTATCAGTAGCCTACGTGCTTACTTTTTTAATTCAGCTAACTGTCCCATTCTAAATTAGAAACAGTTTGAGGGTTAACCTGCATTGTGGTAATGTCACTGGCTGTAGACAGTTTTATTTTTACAAAAGCAAACTTAACACTCGGACCTCAGTCGGCAAAACCGCATTTAATAGAATTTTTTCTTAGGCGTATCAAGCAGGACATAGACAGAAAAAAATATATATGCCATTTCGTGAGCTACATGAATTCAGAAGCTTCTAAAGACGTTGCCGTTTTATGTCACAATTAACATGGATGGGTAAATGCTTGATAATTGCAATTAACAATGCAAGATGAGGGGAGCGGGACAGTAATTCTACCGACTGATTCTCGCATCTAAACAAATTAACACCAAGTTGCTAAGTGGGAAATGTAAATGGGAACCGGTTTGGAGAAGGCATGGTGAAAACAGGGCTAGGTAATCCTCCGATGGCAAGTTCAGGGTGCAAGAGTTTAAAAATCAGGTAAAACGGTAAGATGAGAGATGGAGTTTGGACAAGGTTTTTTGTAATTCTTTAGATTATTAGCATTCTTTCATTTTAACATTGTAGCGCAGAAACGTCTGTCAGCTCTTCTCAGTCACTTCATAATCATTATTGGTAACAGGCTAAATTGCTTGATTGTCATTTGGAGCATATTATACCAGAGCAGATTTAGGGTGGCCAGTTGAGCCTTAAAAGGTGATGGAAGCTGCCCAACCTCGCCGACAATTAGAGGAGTTCTAATCTGAATCATCTTCCCAGAAGCACTTCAAATCTTTGTCGTTTATTTCAGACCGCTTGTATGTTTCAAGAAGAAATGGGACCCAACTGACACAAACCCCATAGCGGCAAGTTGTCTCATTTCGCTTTACGATCATTGCGATTCGAGAACGTCACACCCCTAGCACAACCTTTTTTTTCATCAACTAATCCGCGGATCATGTGCATACCGAACCGTAAAGAGAGATCCGTACGGATTACGGATCAATGATGATCCGTTGCACCACTAAAATTATGAGTCTCATGCTCTACCAACTGAGCTAGCTGGGCCACTTTACTGATCTTTTGACCCTGACAGGGAACCCGGCTCTTGCTGAAAATGCCTTCCATTCACCATTTCTTCCCGTGATTGGGAAGACAACTTTCTCACAAAGACGAGGTTGGAATATCTTGTGTCACAGTCCGCCAGCGCATTTTGTAGGAATGGTGATTCGAGTCCACCCTGGCACAGTGGCCTGATAGTGAATTTAACGCTGTCATCACTTCAGCGACCGTGTGCATAACTCGCATCAGGTGTGTCTGGTACAACCTGCATGTTGTGTTCATGTGTTAAATTTACCAAAAAATGGTATCTGCCAGAAATTTTTTTTGCCTGGTTGGTGCAAAAGTTCCCACAATCACCATGATCGTACAGTCCCAAACTAAAAATTTGCCTGTCCTAGCCTTCGACATTGGCATGGTATTACAGGTTGATGTTATTCTTCATTGGTCTCTGCATTCAAAAATTTCATTCAAATGTGATACTAAGTGCTACTCAAAGGAGAAAAATGTGACAGAGGGGACCACTACTTTACTGAGACTCAATCTGTAATGTACATTAGTAACTTCAAATCAAGGCAGAAGCAATTATATATAATCACAGAGTGTTCCACAAGCCCCGGCAGCTGGGCAATTTGCTGACTACGCAGTCCTCCGCCGCCAGTTACTTCCGGACGAATTCAAAAGATTTCGGCGAGTTTTTACGCGTTTTATTTAGATAAACACATTTCAATTTGCGGATTTACCTTTTCTTCACCGTCACAATAAAGCGTTGTTCTAAGCCGTGCTGTGATTACTCCAGAACTATATCAACATCCAATGAGATCCTGCGTGTCATAGGATCTTTGAGATCTTGATGACTAGCTGAAAGATGCCACCCCAAAAAACATGAAGCCGTCTGGCGGGCAAAGATAGATGATGTGTTTTGTAAAGAAAGGTAATGTCAACGCAAGAGATTGAATAAGTGAGATTTCCTTCTGTTGACAGGTTTGCGCATGAGCGACAATAATAAAAACGCCTACATCGGTATCGAATATTATCCTACTTGTACATTCCCATTTGTCAACACGGTGACACTTCCAGACGCGATGCACCTATTAATTTATAAAAATGCCGGCAGTTTTGACGTAAGTCCAGGGTATTTAATCATCCGTCAATGCTCTGAAGAAAACTCATGTCAAAACTTTGGTAATTTTATGAATTAATTATCGCATCAAGGCTAAGTGTGCGAATGCCGTTCTAATTGTCTTGTCAGTAACCAAGCATAATTCGATCATTTGCAAAGACTGATCAGAATTAACGGCCCATTTGTTTTTTGCTAAGATTTCCGTTCATTGCTTCAAAAAGTTATCTGGCATTTTCCCCAATGATGACATAAAACGCCAACGTATTTTTTGAATTTTCTGAATTCTTGTTGCTCATAAAACGGCACATATTTAGACACCTTAGGGTGTAAATGATGCTGTCCTGTGCCAATTTCGGAATTCCAAACGCTGAGGATTTTTCCCATTTTAAATGTTTGCTTTTATACCACAGAAAACATTTTGAATAAGTCACAGCTTAAAATAAATTGAAGACCCCAAGACTGAAATTACTTAAGTCACAAAATGTCCTTTTTGAGAAAATTGAGAACATAGACTTTGGTTACTACAAAAGAAGTTTTTTCATGGTTTGTCGTGCGTTTGTTTGCTGGTCCTTTCTTTGTTCTATCGTCCGGGACTATATTGGATTTCTTTTTTATCGAATTCCTGGCCCAGCTGGCTGATTGAGCTGGGGCGGAGTTTTCCGGACTCTATATATATGGCTGGGGGTTCGCTACGCCTATCGCTAGAGTGTCTGTTTGTATCTAGCACTTCGCCCAGAGAAAATCTCTAGTCAGATTTCATAGTGATTTGTTATATTCCATTTATTGTTAGGAATTGCTTCTGTTAGAAATTTTCTCTCTTCTCTCTTGTTGTTTATCCTCTCTCGCACTGCTTCCGTGTTGCAGACTTTTATTCGTCCTTGGAAGCGCGAGCTTTTACTGGAGGTGTGTACCTCTTTTGTGTTTGTCTCTTATCTGGGCTGCTCTCCGTTCTTTCTCTCACTGGTCGCAGCACCTGACGTCCTATCACCGCCCATTACAAGTTTTCCCTTCCTTTTCTCACGATGTGTGAAACTGCAGTTGAAGTACTTTTAGCCCGAGCCCTGGTTGTGCAGAGTTAATTCCTGCATAGTATTACTTTCTCAGGAGTCGGAAAAAAATCAAATGTAGTCCTTTCATTTAACATGGAGAAAATAAAACAAGTTGTGGAAATCTTCATGGTGAATTTAATGAGTTGCTAGCTAACTCACCAGTCTGGAGCTGCTTTCGAATAGTCATTATTGCGTAGAAAAGTTCTTAATTCCAAGAAAATGACTAGGAAGGATTTACGCGGCAGCCATGATTAGGTTGTTTGAATTCTCAAAATGTTGAGAGGTGTTTCAGTGCTTCTCGAATTAACCCCTTTTAACATAGGGTACATCGAACCAACCTCTACAAAAAGCACGGTGGTGACGCCATCCCACAATCCCACACATGATCACGTTGCCTAGTAAGTGCATTCAAATTGTCTAAACAGTGCAGAGGTCATTTCCTAAGCCGCATTGAATTCCCTCATACAGCTTTCCTTAACCTCATGAAGTTTCTCACAGAGGTTAAAAAGAAGCGGTGAGGAATTATCTGATGGAACATCATTTTTTGAATGTTCTAACGCAGCCCAAGGCTCACACTGAATTTTGATCACGGACGAGTTTACGCTGTTGTGCATCAACAGCTCTGCCGCTTCCTTGCCTGAAAGGAGTTAATGAAGCATTGTTCAAAATGGCTACCACCCAGAAGGAAAAGGCACCGTTGGGCTTTGAACCCAGGATCTCCTATTTACTAAGCACACACTTTAACCAACTAAGCCACAGTGCCAACAAGAGAAATGGAGTGGCCAATCCTCAGACATATTTACAGAAAGCTGACCGTCAACTAAAATTGACAAACATTATGAGTACCTGAAACGAATGCATAGATATTGCATTGAAAAGGAACAGACAGGCAGTGTGGAGCTGTCAGCATGCTGAGTGTATGAACAGTGGATGTTTTCTTTTAAGTGTAAGGGGGAGGAAAAAAAGGAGAGAGAAGGGGATAAAGGAGAGGGAAAAAAAATTATTTTTAATGACGTTTTCCTCCATTATTGATCAATTTGCATGTCTATGTGCATTTTTAATTTTTTTTTTTTAATCCGATTCTCCCATTCATTTGTATGGGGAGAAATTTGGTAAATGTACTGCTAGAAATTCTTGTTGCCAGAAATTTAAGATTTTGTCCTAAACTGTATATGCAAATTGTATTATAATTTGGAGACTTATCATCCTTATTAACCCCTTTGTGCAGATGTAGACGCTCACGGACATGGAACTACAAATTTAAGCACGTCGTTACAGTACTCGATCACTAGTTGGCACCCCCGGATCAGTTATTGAATATTCACAAGCAAGCAGAGCTCGAGCGCGATTTAGAATATGGAGAAGTTCACTCCAATCCCTGTTTTTCAGGAGTTGCATGAATTAAACTCCTCAGCTAAGCCTTATGTGCAAACTGGTCAATATCCTTGCCCATAGTATCGATCCAGTAGTTTAAAGGGGACCTATTTTGCTATTTTTCCAAGTTTATATTTTGGTCTTTGACTCCCCTAGAGTACTCCTGATCGCGCAAAGTAAAAGGGTATTTATTTCGTTCATACTGCCATCCTCAAAAACTGCATTTGTAGTACATTGTAGTCTCTGCCTGAAACGCCTCACTGGGGTGGCTCTTCCGCTATGGCCCCCACTCCCCGTGTGCCCACTTTCTTCTGACTGGCCAGCTCTGTGGAGGGCGGAGTTGGGCGGACGAGGCTGCAGAGCGCAGTTTTTTCGTGTCCGGCTCCCCAGAGTGAAACCTGAGACACGTCTGCAATCTGATAAGGAAGCGGCGGGCAAATTACGCATCTAATGTTATACTTGAATATAGATCTAATGACATGATCTTGTTCTAACAAACGCAGCGGCAAAAGTGGAGGACGAAAAAGAATATCTGTCAGCGCGAGCTCAAATTTGCTATCCGCTACAGTTTGCTCACGGCAACAGTTGGTGAGTACCGCGGTTTTTCTAGTCCTAGCTAGGATGCAGGGGAAGCTAGAATCCACCCCATATAGACACATTTGTAGAACGGGTCGACATGCCCAAGTGTAGACCGGAGACCGTAGAAATCCGATGGGTCTGAGTTTAGAGGGAAACATGGACAGTGAGGAGCAGCTAAAAGTGGACCAACAGCTTATGGACTGCTTCGATGTGTATTAGGACCTGCTGGGTCGTGTGCATAGCTGTGGTGTGTTGTTAGCGTGGAGCAAACGAACAGCTTCAGCGCTGGTATGTGACGGAGGGGCGAAGCTCCAGGCTTAACGGCCTTTTCGAAATTGCCCGTGGTAATGGTTTACTTACTGCATCGGAATGACAAAGCGTTTCCTCGCGCAGAATGGGCGTTATGGATTGTCTTGCGCGAGCAAGCTAGAGCTCGGTATTGTTATGAGCATAATACAGGTTTTACAGACCGTAAGTTCCGTCTGCGTGAACCGTTGCTTATGTAGAGCTAGCGAATCGATCACTTTTACAGGAAATAATTTAATATTCAGTCGCCGATTTAATATTCAATCGACAGCAATGCAGAGAAATCGTTTGTGATACCATACACGTTATAGCTTGCGCGCTTCCCTATTGCTTTCACCGGTAGCATCAGAGAGCTTGCTCAGACATTGGGGATGTATCAGGCTGACCCCGGTCATGGATAAGTAAAGCGATCGTTTCACAAGCACCCAAAAACTCACCCCAAGCTTTGCAAAACCTACGTCTGGTCTAACTGCAGCCCAACTCGGCAGACACATACAGCACCTCTCCGGTTAGCTTCAACTGTAGTGGCTACAATCAGGCAACGTTATGATGAAACTGCCACATTGATGTTTACCGAAGTAACACAAGCATACCGATCGGAATCGCTGCATATAAGTTAACCAGGAGCGTTTTTAATTAGCAGAGCAGGGGAACTAACATGCAGTAGCTGATAAGTGGCCGTGACTTTGAATGTAATCTGTCGCGCGAAAAATTCGTTTCGCGTCCGGTGTGAAAGCGGCTTGACATGCCCGTATTCGCGTCTTTGCATTGACTTTGAATGTAATCTGTCGCGCGAAAAATTCGTTTTGTGTTCGATATGAAAGCAGCTTTATGGATAGTACGCGACAGCTAGAGAGAGCTCGGTTATGTTAGGAACATAATACAGGTTTTGCAAACCGTACATTCCGTTAGGGCGGACAAGTTGCTTATGTGGAGCTAGCGAATCGATCACTTCTACAGGAAAGAATTACCTACTTAATCTCCGCCTTTTTCGGCTTTTTATTAGCCACAACAATTTCTAAAGGGGATGAAATTATGTCAAGGTAGTGCAGAGAAATCATTTGTAAACCGGGTAGAGTTTCTGCGTTTACTTTTCTCTCATGGTAGCACCAGAGAGCTTGCTCAGACATTTGTGAAGTATCCTGCTGATCCCGGTCATGGATAAGTGAAGCGATCACTAACTGTAGAGCCTACAATCGGGCAACGTTATGATGAAACTGCCACATTGATGCTTACCGAAGTAACACAAGCATACCGATCAGAATTACTGTATATAAGTTAACCAGAAGCATTTTTAATTAGCACGACACGAAACTAACATGCAGTAGCTGGTAACCGAAATGTCATAACCACAGAGACAAACCCCTGCAATACAGGTTTTACAGACAGCAAGTTCTGTTACTGTGAACAGTTGTACCAAGCATCCAAATTACAAACAAGTATTAAAAGTTGGCTTCAAATGAGGTTTATGTTCACACACCTTCTGTAGAATTTCCCCTGATATCACTCTTGCATATTTAGGACACAAGCATTAGCAACAGTAACTTGGCTACGTTAGCCGCTGTGCTACTGTGAACCGAAGGGTTAATTTAAGGTTCTTGGCTAAGGTGCTTGACTACGCCACCTGGGGCCTTTCACCTCAAGATATATTATACTTAGTTATCTCTAAACACCTGGATTAAGACAAGAGGGTTATCCCCAACAGATGCATTAGGAAGCACAGAGACGTGAGGTTTCAGTCAAAAGAATGAATTTATTAATGGATAATACAAAATGAAACAATAATAAAAAAAAGATACCCCTTCAGTTTATTTGTTTTGCTTTACATGGAGATACTTCTACTCACAGAATGGGAATAGTTCATACGGCACTCAGGGAAAGTAAAGACTGCCACCCATAACATTGGGTATCAATTAGCACAAGGGACTAAATAGAGCAGCTGCGGAGGGGTAGGTTACCTGTCCTAGAAGAGTGAGGCTGACACACCAAACGTGCTCTTGACTCTGGTGCCTATCAACACACACAAACAGACACACACACAGGCAGATACTGCAAAGCAAGTGATCACAGCAAATGGTGGGGTGCTCTTTACCACTACAAGTACTGTGTGCAGTGCGCGAAGAGGAGGACTCAGATCCGGCGACCTGCCCCGATGAACAGCTGAGATGCTGCATGCGGCTATAAAGAAGATGCAAGAAAAAGGTTTGTTAAGACTAGCTGCAGGAGCCTGAAAAGGACATCACACAAATGGCCCAATTCGCTACCACAGAAGCAGTAGACCAATGGTGGCAGTCTGTACTTCCCAAGGCCAGCACAGCGATGTGGAAAAGAAACAAACAAAACCCAAAATGCACGCGGAGCATAAATAGAGTGCTCAGCACACAAAATAAATCAAAACAAACCAAGATACAAAAGGGCAAAGACTAAAATACAGTACTAAGTTAACGCAAGGCAAAGCAGCAGTGGCAAATCGTTCTGATAAAAAAACAACAGTTAGTCGAGGGCATAGCAGATAAAATGAACATTAACAAAAGGTAGGTTGACACATATGAAATTAACACAACAAGCATTATTCCAATTTACCTCCATGTACCTTAGGCTCACTGGCATAAATACTGGCGCCTAGCGTCTCAGGCCCAGTCTCAAATGGAAACCTTAACATGGTTGATGAAAACATGTTAAAACAATATCATTACAAAAATGATCACGAAAATTTCAGCCACTACAACCCCAGGATAGCGTTACAGCTGTTCCACTACTTCAACAATTATACACGCCAGATCATAATACTTCGTTACCCGTATACTGCTGGAACGTTGCCAAATTCCTCGGGCAGCAAGGCACAGGCAACAGTGCTCTCGGTGTCATTCGGACCAAAACCTTGGTTAAAAACAAATATTTTAAATTTACATCCATCCAATACGTGCCGACATGCATTTATACCCAGCTACATAATGACAAAGGAGTACTTAATACCTTCGGTAGTTTATTTCCACACTACCCGAAGCGTTTAGGGCACGTTATGCTGCAGGACACCTGTTTACAAATAATTTGACATTAGAACCCAATACTCACAAAACGCTACAAAGAAGAAATAATATAGCAGCCCATACCTTCCCGGTGAATACAGCGAGGGCAAAGCACGATGCAGTATACCAGAGCTTTTACGTGGCCTGCCCGAAAAAGCAGCTTTATACAAATTTTGCACCTCAACAATGAATGGATAGCCACTGAAATGCTACCTAAAGGGCGTGTCTGCAAGGAACAAAGCTAACGGTGGCTGCCGGGGGACAACAGTAACGCACAGAAAGGACTGCCGGTTACATTCTACCCTCCCTTTTCGTATCGGCATCCTGCCGATAAATTAATAAAAAAAAAGATTGAACAAAGAAACCAAAAAGCTGTTGTCCCAGCAAATCTAGCACCAGGGTCGGAACACTGCGATGACCTCACTACTAGACCCAGGCACCCAGAAGTTCGTAACCCCGTCTGCTCTACTCACCA